CTACCCCATCTCTCAACCCCGTTATTCTGAGCCCTTGTGGTCTATTCCCAGAAAGATCCTTTTCATTTTCAGCCTCTACTCAGAATGGTACCTTTACTCCTCTTGCTCCAACAATGCCTGGTGCTTCCTGAGGACAGGCTCTCCTGCAGTCCTGTGCAGTGGTGGCTGTGTACTCTCCACACCCCTACATGATGGCTCCTATAACCAGTCAGGCTCTACTGCCCACTACCCTTCATTCAAATCATGCATCTTCCCCCTGGCCACCCCCTTTGCCATCCATTATCTGGAGACTTTGAGTTCCTCTCTCCTGAACTTCCCCTGTTGTCATAATTCTTAGTAATTTGTATTGATATGGATACTTCTTCCAGTACCCTGCCCTCTCAGTTCCTTGACCTCCTGTCCCCTATCATCCTGTCTTGCATCATACTTCAGCCACTCACTACCATGCTCACTTATGATCTTATCATTACCAGAGACATTAATGAGGTGGCTAGTCATGAACATGGAATATCTCTTCATTTACTTCTTATCTCCAATGAACCGGCAAAAAGGCAGAAGTGGAGCTGTGGTTCAACTGGTGGAATGCCAACCTTAAGTTCAAACTCCAGTACCAGCACACACATACACGCCCGTGCACACAAAGGATGGGCACAAGTGGCTCATGCCTGTAATCCTAGCTACTTAGGAAGCTGAGATCTGAGGAGCACTGAGCCAGCCAAGGCAGAAAACTCTTATTTCCAATTAACCAGCAAAAAGCTGGACATAGGGGGCTGGGAAGGTGGCTCAGTGGTAGAGTGCTTGCCTTGCATGCATGAGGCCCTGGGTTCGATTCCTCAGCACCGCATAAGCAAAAAGAAAAAAGTCAGAAGTGGCACTGTGGCTCAAGTGGTAGAGCACTAGCCTTGAGCTGAAGAGCTGAGGGACAGCGCCCAGGCCCAGAGTTCAGGCCCCACAACCGGACCCAAAAAAAAAAAGCTGGACATAGAGCTGTGGCTCAAGTGGTAGAACGCTAGCCTTGAGCACAGAAGCTCAGGGACAGTACCCAAGCACTGAGTTAAAGCCTAGACTGATTTAAAAAAAAAAAAAAAAAAAAAAACTGGGCACCGGTGGCTCAAATCTGCCACCCTAGCTATTCAGGAGGCTGAGATCTAAGGGTCTCGGTTCAAAGGTAGCCTGAGAAGGAAAGGCTGTGAAATTCTTATCTCCAATAAGCCACCAGAAAACCAGAAGTGGCGCTGTAGCTCAAGTGGTAGAGAGCTAGCCTTGAGCTTAAGAGCCTAGGAACAGTGCTCAGGCCCAGAGTTCAAGCCCCATGACCGACCAAAAAAAAAAAAAAAAGGTATTATGAAGCCAGTTGTCTGTGGTTCATTCCTGTAATCCTAACTCCTCAGGAAGCTAGACTGAGATCTGAGGAACAAAGTTCAAGGCCAGTCCAGATAGGAAAGTCTGTGAGTCTCTTATCTCCAATTAACCTCCAACAGACTGAAAGAAGGTAGAGCACCAGTCTTGAGAGAATAAGCAAAGGGACAACTCTTGGATACAGAGTAGTGGCACAAAGCAAAAAAAAAAAAAAAAAGAAAAAAGATTTTAGCTATAGTTGAGATAACTGTCTTATATTCCCAATTTGCTGAGAATTGTCCTTATGAACAGTGTTGGAACTTGTTAAATACTTCTTCTACATCTATTAATATGATCATGTGAATTTTTTTCTCTAGCCTGTTGATATGATAAATTATGTCAATTTTTTTTTTTTTTTGGGTCTGGTCATGGGGCCTGAACTCTGGGTCTGAGTGCTGTCCCTCAGCTCTTCAGCTCAAGGCTAGCGCTCTACCACTTGAGCCACAGCGCCACTTCCGGCTTTTTTCTTTTTGCTTATGTGGTACTGAGGAATTGAACCCAGGGCCTCAGGCATGCAAGGAAGCACTCTACCACTGAGCCACCTTCCCAGCCCCAAATTATGTCAATTTTTTAAACAGCACTAGACTAAGAAATTCAAACCAGGAAGTAAGCTGAACAGAAATTCCCTACCTACCATCTTCTCCTCAGATGTTAAGTTATAATAACTATAGCTGGGCACCAGTGGCTCAAACCTGTAATCCTAGCTACTCAGAAGGCTGAGATCTGAGGATCACAGTTCAAAGCCAGCCTGGGCAGAAAAATCCATGAGACTCTACCAATTAACCTCCAGAAAACCTGAAGTGGCACTGTGGCTCAAGGTAGAGCACTTGCCTTGAGCTGAATAGCTAAGGGACAGTGCCCAGGGCCAGAGTTCAAGCCCCATGACCGACCAAAAAAAAAAAAAAAGGAAAAGAAAGAAAGCGGGGTGCCAGTGACTCACGCCTGTAATCCTAGCTACTCAGGAGGCTGAGATCTGAGGATCACGGTTCAAAGCCAGCACAGGCAAGGAAAGTCCATGAGACTCTTATCTCCAATAAACCACTAGAAAACCGGAAGTGGCACTATGGCTCAAGCAGTAGCGTGCTCTCCTTGAGCTGAAGAGCTGAGGGACAGCGCCCAAGCCCAGAGTTCAAGCTCCAAGATCAACCAAAAAAAGAACTATAAGAGGTAGAGACAAGGGCTGGGAAGTTGGCTCAGTGGTAGAGCGCTTGCCTTGCATGCATGAAGCCCTGGGTTCGATTCCTTAGCACCACATACGAAAAAAGAAAAAAGCCGGAAGTGGTGCTGTGACTCAAGTGGTAGAGCGCTAGCCTTGAGCTGAAGAGCTGAGGAACAGCGCCCAGGCCCAGAGTTCAGGCCCCATGACCGGACAAAAATTAAAAAAAATTAAAAAAATTAAAAAAAAAAGAGGTAGAGACAAAATTGGAGGGAATGCTGGCAAATGCATGTTCTGATATTTACACTAATAATACCTCTGTTTTGTTTGGGTAAGCCTAATATCACTTCTTCACGTTTGTACCAGGTCTAGGGCTTGAACTCTGGGCCTGTACACTGTCTCTGAGCTTTTATGCCCAAAGCTATGCTCTACAACTTGAGCCACAGCTCCACTCTGGCTTTTTGCTGTTTAATTGGAGATAAGAGCTTCATGAACTCCCTGCCCGGGTTGGCCTTGAACCACGGTCCTCAGATTCCAACCTTCTGACTAGCTAGGATTACAGGCATGAGCCACTTGTGCCCAGCTCATGTTTTCCATTATGTTTAATAACTAGGAGTGGCTAGACCACATGACCAAGTATAGCCCCCTCCCCCCCAGCTCAAATTCCAGATAAGAACTACCATTTTGACCATCTACTCCCATTTCCAGTGTGGGAAGCAGGATCTATTTTTCTCCCTTTCCTACTTTCCCTCCAGTACTAAATCTTTGCTAAACTTCTACCTTGGGAGACTCCCCATTTTGTGAAGCTCCTTCCTAAAAATGTTTTCCACTGTGGATTTCAAGTATCTGTGATTTGCAAGGAAACTGAGAAGTGAGGAGAATCCCCTTCTTCCTTGTTTGGCAATCCTACCTGGTAAATAGCACTCAATCCATATCTTGGGTCCCCACTGAAGAGCCAGATCTTTCCTACACAAACCTAATGAGACCATTCCCTCACTGAAAATCTCCTATGGCTTCCCACTCTCAGAAAAACCCAAGTCCTTGGCATGGCCCACCAGACCAATACCCCTGGCCTCTACTGTTAAGAGTCTCACAGTCCCAACCCTTTCTCCCTTCTCTGGGAGTTTAAGCTAAAGAGGGCAGAGATCATGCCCCTACTTTTTCACCACTGTAACCCTAGCACATGCTAAATAAAAAATACTGGCTGGGTGCCGGTGGCTCATGCCTGTGATCCTAGCTGCTCAGGAGGCTGAGATCTGAGAATCTCAGTTCAAAGCCAGCCCTGGCAGAAAAGGCTGTGAGAGACTTATTTCCAAAGAACTGCCAGTAAACCAGAAGTAGCACTGTGGATCAAAGTGGTAGAGAAGGGCTGGGAAGGTGGTTCCAGTGATAGAGCGCATGCCTTGCATGCCAGAGGCCCTGGGTTCAATTCCTTAGCACCACATAAGAAAAAAGAAAAAAGCCAGAAGTGGTGCTGTGGTTCAAGTGGTAGAGCGCTAGCCTTGAGCTGAAGAGCTGAGGGACAGTGCCCAGGCCCAGAGTTCAGGCCCCATGACTGGACCCAAAAAAAACAAAAAACAAAAAACAAAGTGGTAGAGCACTAGCCTTGAGCAAAACAGCCCAGGCCCTGAGTTCAAGCCCCACAGCTGAAAAACAAAACTAACCTCTGTAGCATCTTAAGTAGCAGGCAAGTGACATACTGAAGTACCACAGTGGAAGTAAAGAGTCTATACATGTTTGTATCCTTGGAAGCTAACAACAGGCTTGAAGCAGGGAAGGATGAAACAATGTTAAACCAGAGACACACATGATGAGATACAATATTGGCACTTGGCATTGAATTGACTGCCCACTGCAAATTACCACATGCTGATAAGGTCTCATACTTAGATATTTATCCCATTCCTATCCCCATATCCCATCCTGTGGGTACCAAGTAGTCTAGCCATATATTTGAAGACAGGAAACTGGGCTCTGACGCACAGCTAGAAAATAAGATGCAAACTATGGAGCTGATTGCATGTTCTGAAAAGCAAACTAGTCAAGGAGCAGTACAGGATTTTACCTCACCCAATTTCCCCACCCCCAGTCACTGTAATACAGTATAATACTCAAGCTCCTGCTTGTGTCAAGGTCTCAAGGCTTCCCACATGGCCACTGGTAGCTCTTTGCCCAATTAACTCCAAGACAGCCTTGTAACTCTTTGCCCAATTACTCCAAGACCGCTGGAGACAGCCTCTCCCTATTCCCTCCCCTATCACTGACCCCATCAAGTATCCTCATAGCACACTCTACAATCCTCCACACCACACATCACAATTGAAATTAATGTTTACCTTTGTGATCTATTTACAACTTGAGGACAATGGCTGTATCTCTTTTGGTCACTATTATTTCCCCAAAGAGCTAGCACATTGTAGGTACACAATAGGAATTCAATAAATACCTGTTAAATGAAGGAATGGTGGGCTGAAGTGTAGCTCAGTGGCAGTGCACTTGCCTGGGAAAAAGAGGTGGAGGAGGAGCAGGAGGAGGAAGAAGAGAAATGAACGTGATATGTAGGTAAGCACTGAGCTTGGGAGTGACATGAACCTGGCTCTGTTCTTTTATAGTTGTGTGCCTGTGCATAAAATTCTTACCATCTTGCAGGCCATTTATTCCTACATAAATAAATACAGTAGCTTACTGTCTTGAAAACCTATAATGAAGTTCTTTTTTTTTTTTGGTCATGTGGCTTGAACTTGGCCTGGGCACTATCCCTCAGCTCTTCAGCTCAAGGCGAGCCACAGTACTACTTCTGGTTTTCTGAGTGGTTTATTGGAGATAAGAGTCTCATGGATTTTCCTGCCCAAGCTGGCTTTGATCTGTGATCCTCAGATCTCAGCCTCCTGAGTAGCTAGGATTACAGACCTGAGCCACTGACTCCCGGCTATAATGAAGTTCTTAGCATAGCAAATCACAAATGCTCAATAAACTATTACATATATTAACATTTTGGGGGAGGGAGTGCTGGTCCTGAGGTTTACAATCAAGGCCTGGGTGCGGTCTCTGAGCTTTTTTTGCTCTACCACTTGAGCCACAGTTCCGCTTCCAGTTTGTTGGTGGTTAACTGGACGTAAGAGTGTGATGGACTTTCCTGCCTAAACTGGCTTTGAACCCCAATCCTCAAATCTCAGTAACTATGACTACACACATGAGCTATGTGTTCCTCGCATAGCTTTTCCCATCTAGGCTGTGTTTCCAAGCAGCCAGTTCCCTCTAGCCAGAGGGCCTAAGTGGATCAAATATTAACTCTTACAGGCTGAGTGGCCCTAATCTGAAAATCCAAGTGACCCACAAATCCAAACTTTTTATTTTTATCTTACTGGTATGGGGTTGCTTTCTCAGCTGACTACCACCTGAACCAGTATCTCTAATCTAGTTTGTTGCTGATTCATTGGAGATGCAATCTCTCAGAGTTTTCTGACCTGGCTGGTTTTGTACCATTATCTTCCAGGTCTTAACCTCCTGAGTAACTAGGATTACAGGTGTGAAGGTATGAGCCACCACACCTGGCTCTAATCTAGACCTTGAGGAGCAAAACTGACACTACCACAGTGAAAAATACACACCTGACTTGTATAAACAGCCACATAAAAATGAAGGTTCACTAAAAATACTTTGTAAAATTACTTTCAAGCTGGGCGCCGGTGGCTCATGCTTGTAATACTAGCTACTGAGGAGGCTGAGATCTGAGGATCACAGCTCAAAATCAGCCTGGGCAGGAAAGTCCATGAGACTCTTAGCTCCAATTAACCACCAGAAAATCTGAAGTGGAGCTGTGCCTCAAGTGGTAGAGCGCTAGCCTTGAGCTGAAGAGCTGAGGGATAGTGTCCAGGCCCAGAGTTCAAGCCCCACAACCAAAAAAAATTACTTTCAGGGACTGGGAATGTGGCTCAGTGGTAGAGTGCTTGCCTAGGATGTATGAAGTCCTGGGTTCGATTCCTCGGAACCACATACACAGAAAAAGCCAGAAGTGGCATTGTAGCTCAAGTGGCAGAGCACTAGCCTTGAGCAAAAAATGCTCACGGACAGAGCCTTGGCCCTGAGTTCAAGTCTCAGGACTGGCAAAATAAATAAATGCTTCTGATCTCTATTATTATGAAGCAGAGGACAGAAACATGGTAGGGAGGACATAAACAGCTCCCTTCCTGCAAACACTCTGTTACATGTTTGAGTAAAACAAATCCCTTTTTTTTTTTTGCCAGTCATGAGGCTTGAACTCTGGGCCCGGGCACTGTCCCTGAGCTGCTTTTGCTCAAGGCTAGCACTCTACTGCTTGAACCACAGTGCCACTTCTGGTTTTTCCAGTTTATGTGGTACTGAGGAATCAAATCCAGGGCTTCATGCATGCTAGGCAAGCACTCTACCACTAAGCCACATTCCCAGCCAAAGAAATCTTTTAAGAACAAAAAGGAATCTGTTGTTTTATCTAATCAGAAAATGCAGAAATGATGCAAGTTATGATTACTATGATTTCAATGAGATATTATCAACCTCACAGTCTTGCCTTCAGGCTGGCTTCTCTTCTGATGGTAAAATAGCCTCTAATAATAATGGGCTACCCATATTACTGAACTGAAGCCCTGAATTTCCCGCTAAATGGACAGGCATCTGTCTGCTCTAGAACAGTTGTGTACAAGTGACAGCCATCACTAGTGGACTAGAGCTGATGTAGTGTTTTTTCAATAAGTATGTTAGGCCATATTTCTTTTCCCAAGCTCCTTGGAACTGGCTTTGACATGCAACTTTGTAACACTTATCTCAATAGTCACTCACTGCTGAATATTTTGTACTACATAACTTTCAGTCAGCTATTAATCAAGCCTCACTACATTGCTTTTTTTTTTTTTTTTTTTTGCCAGTCCTGGGGCTTTAACTCTGGGCCTGGGTGCTATCTCCCTGGGCTCCTTTTATTCAAGGCTAGTGCTCTACCATCTGAGCCACGACGCTACTTCCAGATTTTTCTGTGATTAATTGGTGGTAAGAGTCTAATGGACTTTTCTGCCCAGGTTAGCTTTGAACCGCGATCCTCAGGTCGCAGCCCCCTTGGTAGCTAGGATTACAGGGTGAGCCACCAGTGCTCCGCTACCACGCTGCTTTTGAAGCTGTTGTAACGCCACTCTAGGGAAATCCCGGAGTAGTCACCCCTGACCAAATTCTAGCCATAGACTCTTCCATTTCCACTTGCTCCTAGCATAAGGCTCAGGATAAACACAAAAGCATTATCTAAGGACAAAATTGAGGGCCTCCATAGATGGATCAGGTTACAGCAAGACTCCATTTTTTTTTTTCATTTTTAAAAATTATCATATATGGTATCTCACTAGGTTGGCCTTGAGCTCCTGACTTCAAGTGACTCTCTTGTGTCGGCTCCCGGAGTTCAGAGTAACTAGGACTACTACAGATGTGTGCCAAACATGCCTGGGGGGGCAGGTTAGAGATGGAACCCCAGATTCACACACTAAGCTAATGTTCTACATTGAGGTACATCTTCAGACATCAGTCTTTTATTTATTTATTTTTTTTGGGGGGGGGGACCTGGGCGCTGTCCCTCAGCTCTTCAGCTAAAGGCTAACACTCTACCCCTGGAGCCACAGCGCCACTTCTGGTTCTCAGAATAAACTCAAATCACTATAGCAAATGCTTAAGAACCTAACAGAATCGTATCTCCTTTATATTCATCTACAGCTTTACGGGTGGGTGGATTATTTCGCAAAGTTGCCGCTGGGGGGGGGGGGGGGGAAACAGACGCTAAGGACTTAAGATATTTGCCCAAGTTGACAAGGGTTGGAGATTCAGTCAACTAACCATCAGTACCCTCCCCTGCCTTCCGAAAAACGGTATGGTCTTGGTACCTGTCACCAAGCTAAGGTGTGCCACGGGTCTCAGAGCCCCGGTCCGGGTCAGTCCACCCACACCTTCCCGCTCAGCTGCAGGCGGCTCCCGCGACGGAACTGAGGCCCGACCGGCGCGCGCGTGCGAACTTGGGGCGTCGCAGCCTCCGACAGGCACCGCCCAGCCTCGAGGGAGGGGGGTGGGGGAAAACCGCCGCACCGCCACTCGGGTTTCCAGCCACGACAGCGCAGGCCAGGAGGGCCTCGGCGCCCGAGCCGGCGCTCCGGCCTCCAGAGCTGGGCTCAGCCTCCTTCGAAGTGGGGGGGCGTCGCGGGGAACCGGAAGGCCCCCGAGGACGCAGCGGGCCCCGCGGGGTCCGCAGCCTGCGCTCAGCCTCCACGCCGCTTCCCGCCCCTCACCCGGGCAAGCCACGCCTCAAGTGAACCCTCAGCTCACAGTCTGACTCCGTCCCCCACACAAGGACGCCCCCCGCGGCCTCTACCTGGACTTGAAAGAAACCATGGTGGACCAACTTCATCCTCCCGCCTCGGAAGTGACGCGACCCAGCCGACTAGACTCCATCCAATCACAGGGCTCAATATGCGCATGCGCCTGTAGGTCGGGGCAAGAAAGACCTAGGAGACCCCTTTCAGGTTCCCAAGGGAAATTCAGGAGACAATGGATTGGGCTCCAGGGAATAGGTAAACAGACACATGCATACACACACACACACAGGATTTTATACACATATATGAGTATATATTGTTTTGGGGTTCTTTTTGTCTTGAACTCTGGGCCTGGCGCTATCCCTGAGCTCTTCAGCTCAAGGCTAACACTTTACCACTTGAGCCACAGCGCCACTTCTGGCTTTCTGGTGATTTATTGGAGATAAGACTCTATGGACTTTGTTGCCCTGGCTGGCTTTGAACCTTGGTCCTCAGATCTCAGCCTCCTGAGTAGCTAGGAAAACAGGCATGAGCCACTGGCGTCCAGCATGCATATGTATGTTGGATTACATATATATGTTTTTAATGGTAGAACTGTTTGAGGAGGTGGAGGAAAATATTATATTTGTAAATGAAGATGACAAAACAAAACTCACTGAGATCATTCCTGTAATTCTAGCTACTCAGGAGGCTGAGATTTCTAAGAGGTTTGAAGCCAGTCCAGACAAGAAACTCCATGAGACTCTGATCTCCAACTAAAAAGCAAAAAGCCAGAAGTGGAGATACGGCTCAAGAGGTAGAGCACTAGCCTTGAGGAAAAAAAGAGAAAAAAAAAAGACCTCAGGGACAGCACCTAGAATTTAAGCCCCAGGACTGGCACCAAAAAACAAAACAACAAAAAAAAACTAGGTGCTGGTGGCTCACGCCTGTAATACTAGCTACTCAAGAGGCTGAGATCTGGGGATCATGGTTCAAAGCCACCGAGGGCAGGAAAGTCCATGAGAGTCTTTTTTTTTTTTTTTGGGGGGGGGGTCCAGTCGTGGGGCCTGGACACTGTCCCTCAGCTCTTCAGCTCAAGGCTAGTGCTCTACCACTTGAGCCACAGCACCACTTCCGGCTTTTTGCTTATGTGGTGCTGAGGAATCAAACCCAGGGCCTCATGCATGCAAGGCAAGCACTCTACCACTGAGCCACCTTCCCAGCCCATCCATGAGAGTCTTATCTCCAATTAACCACCAGAAAACTGGAAGTGGAGTTGTGGCTCAAGTGGTAAAGTGTTAACTTTTTTTTTTTTTTTTTGTCGGTTGTGGGGCTTGAACTCTGGGCCTGGGCACTGTCCCTCAGCTCTTCAGCTCAAGGCGAGCACTCTACCACTTGAGCTACAGCGCCACTTCCGGTTTTCTGGTGGTTTATTGGAGATAGGAGTCTCACAGTCTCCTGCCCGGGCTGGCTTTGAACCGCGATCCTCAGATCTCAGCCTCCTGAGTAGCTAGGATTACAGGTATGAGCCACCAGCGCCCGGCTAAAGTGTTAGCTTTGAGCTGAAGACCTCAGGGATAGTGCCCAGGCCCAGAGTTCAAGACCCACGACCTACAGAAACGAAAACAAAACAAAAAAACTTCTGACTGTGGGGAGATAGCTTGCATTGTAATTTCTATTCTCCATCCTTTACTATATATACATATAGTATATTTATATATATAAATATACTATATATATAGTATATTTATATATATAAATATATATATTTATATATATATAAACTTAACAGAGCTATTGAATGACAAAGGCAGTAGGTACTGGGAAAGTAAGTGAGCAAGGAGTCATACAGTGTGAAATAAGGTGAAATGTCTTCAAATGATTACAATACAATTACATAACAAATGGGGTGGAAGTGCTAGAGGTGCTAATTGCAAAGGAAAATGGAAATGGTGAGTATGGTCAAAATACTTTATGTGCACGTGTGAAAATAGCACAAGGAGGCTTGCTGAGATTGATTTGGGAAGGAAAAGGCGAGATAAAAGTGATGAGAGGGCTGGGAAGGTGGCTCAGTGGTAGAGCTCTTGCCGTGCATGCCTGAGGCTCTGGGTTCGATTCCTCAGCACCACATAAGCAGAAAAAGCCAGAACTGGCACTGTGACTCTAAGTGGTAGAGCGCTAGCCTTGAGCTGAAGAGCTGAGAGACAGTGCCCAGGCCCAGAGTGAGGTCTAAGCCAGGCACCAGTGGCTCAGGCCTGTAATCCTAACTACTCAGGAGGCTGAGATCTGAGGATCACGGTTTAAAGCCAGCCCGGGCAGGAAAGACGTGAGACTCCTATCTCCAATAAACCACTAGAAAACCGGAAGTGGCGCTGTAGCTCAAGTGGTAGAGCACTTGCCTTGAGCTGAAGAGCTGAAGGACAGCGCCCAGGCCCAGAGTTCAAGTGCCATGACCGACAAAAAAAAAAAAAAACAAAGGGAAAGAGGGAAAGCGGGAAAGCAAGCAAGCAAGCACAGAGAAAGTTAAACAAAAAAGCATCTTTTGCACACCCCAGAGTTCACTGGCTTGACTCATAGTGACTGGGTTTGCTTATGAGAGTAGCTATGTGTTGGAAGTAGTTCTGAGGTGTTCATCTTGAGAGTAGAGCTTGTAGAGGACATCAATGGTGGCTGAGTAACGAGGAAAAAGGTCTCCAAGGGCTCACACCTCCTCACATCACACCTTTCCTATGGAAAGGGATTTCTAGGAAGTGGAGCTGCAAGGGTCCTGCCTGCAACACTGGAGGGTCTTCTGACCAATCCGGCAAGGTCCTTCCTGAGGCTTTGGTGGAATGGACACCAATGGATCTGGTTGATCCTCATTGCATCTCTGATGCTCTTGAGGAAGACCTCAGTCAAGCACAAACCTGTTTTGGGCCACATCAGTGGCAATGTGGCCCCTGTTTGGGCCATTCTGTTCTGTACATCTCCTCCAACCCCAGGATGTTCCATAAGGTTGGAAATTTGGCCAAGTGGGTGTTGCACTTAGCTTTCATGTTTGTGATGCCGCAAACACCTGTCTTGATGAGCATAACGCTGGGGACCTTGGGCAATGGAAGAACGTCAGCAGATGGAATACCACCTCCAGAAAAGGCCCACTCTCTGATTGTCCTGGGGGCAGCCACTTCAACAGGTGCTCTACCAGCAGTGCCAATTGGAAGGTTCTGTTCACATTGAAATATTATTGGCACTCACTGCAGGCTCTAACGCCAGTGTCACCACTCCAACCTGGCTGCACCCTCTTACCTAACCTGTCTTTCAACTTTTTTTTGCCAGTCCTGAGGCTTGAACTCAGGGCCTGGACACTGTCCCTGAGCTCTTTCATCTAGCACTTTGAGCCACAGTGCCACTTCCGGTTTTCTGGTGGTTAATTGGAGATAAGAGTCTCCAATGGACTTTCCTGTCCAGGTTGGCTCTGAATCTTTTTTTGGGGGGGAGGGGGGGAGGGTCCGGTCGTGGTGCCTGAAATCTGTGCCTGGGCGCTGTCCCTCAGCTCTTCAGCTCAAGGCTAGCACTCTACCACTTGAGCCACAGTGCCACTTCCGGCTTTTTTTTTCTTTTTGCTTATGTGGTGCTGAGGAATCGAACCCAGGGCCTCATGCATGCAAGGCAAGCGCTCTACCACTGAGCCACCTTCCCTGCCCTGGCTCTGAATCTTGATCCTCAGATCTCAGCCTTCTAAGTAGCTAGGATTATAGGTATAAGCCACCAGCACCTAGCTTTCAACCATTTTGAAATGTATGTACTATTATTAACTACACTTACTATGAAATAGATATTTTTTATTATCTTTAAGTAGTTGTACAAAGAAGTTCCCATTCTACAAAACAGTATATGAATACAAGGTGTCTGACAACATTGTCACCCATTGCTCCTAACGCATCCCTTCTCTCACTTTTTTCTTAAAAAATTGAGATTAGGTGATTACATAAATTTCACACATTTCACAGTATTGTGGAATAGTCAAACTTAGTTAAAATCAACACATTTTAACCTTCACAAGGCAAATTGTCATTATCATGGTCTATAAAGTTTGTGAATTCTATGAGCTTTGACAATACAATTATTTCTTTCACATCAGGTGATATTTACATTTCTTTCCTTTTGCTTAGTGTCAGCTGTTCCCTCTTTCCCTCTCATTTATACAATAGATATTTACACATTTATTTAGCCACCCTAACTGGATTTCCAGGCCAAAGGCCCAACTCTAGAAGTTCCACATGTCAGACCCAGCCTTCACCACTAATACACCAAATAAAGAGATAAGTAGTAAAGGACAGAGAAGGGAGGTTTGTTATGCAGCACTGGCATGAATTGGGAAGAGGTACTGTCTGCATGGATCATTCAGTTGTTTTAGATTTCATAAATTTATGAAAACATGCAGAATCTATCTTTCTATACCTGGCTTATGTTACTCAGCATAAAGCTGTCTGTGGAATGTTCATGACATTTCTGTTGAACAAATCACTGTTGAACAAATCTATGTTGAACAAATCACTGTTGAACAAACCTATCACAGGAATTACATTCCAGAGTATCCCCTGCCATGATAGGTGAAAATCCACAAAGTAGAAGTGTTTTATATATATATGCCAGTCCTGGGCCTTGAACTCAGGCCTGGGCACTGTCCCTGAGTTTCATTTGCTCAAGGCTAGCATTCTACCACTTGAGCCACAGCGTGACTTCTGGCTTTTTCTGTGTATGTGGTCTGAAGAATCGAACCCAGTGCTTGCATGCTAGGCAAGCGCCCTACCCCTAAGCCACATTCCCAACCCCTATAAAAAGATATAGAGGGGCTGGGAAGGTGGCTCAGTGGTAGAGCGCTTGCCTTGCAATGCATGAGGCCCTGGGTTCGATTCCCCAGCACCACATAAGCAAAAAGAAAAAAGCCGGAAGTGGCGCTGTGGCTCAAGTGGTAGAGCGCTAGCCTTGAGCTGAAGAGCTGAGGGGCAGCACCCAGGCCCAGAGTTCAGGCCCCACAACCGGACCCAAAAAAATAAAATAAAATAAAATAAAAATAAATAAAAAGATATAGATAGATAGATATAGATATATAAAGAAA